TTTGGTCTTTTTGAGACAGGGTCTCCCTGTAGCCCCAGCTGTCCTGGAACTCACTACATAGACCAGGCTGGCCTTGAACTCACAGGGATCCTCCTGCCTCTACCTCTGGGATTAAAGGCAGCCCAGGTGAAAATTCTGGGAATTATCTGGTATGGTTCCAAATTGTAGTATAAGTCTTGAACTTCAAAGCTGGATAATCTTGTTAGCCTCGGTTTCTCTAGATGTAGGATTTTTTTGTATCTCTACCACATAGGCTGTTACTATATATGAAAACAGGTGCAATAGGGAAAATATAGATGCTACTAAGATGACATGGTTCTGTTTTAGTGGCTGCATTTATGCTTCTTGGAAGTGAACTATTTGTTTTGTTTGTTTTTTAATGCTTCCAATGTCTAGGCAAAAGGCTAAAAGAAACCAGGGTACAGTGAAAGACTTGAGCGTTGCACGGTTCTCACTTGTGGTAGCACACACCTTTAGTCCTAGCACTTGGGAGGCAGAGGCAGGCAGATCTCTGTAAGTTTGAGGCCAGCCTGGTTTACATAGGGAGTTCCAAGCCAGCTGGGGCTATAGGGAGGCCCTGTCTCAAAAAAAAAAAAAAAAAAGAGTACAACAGAGTCAGATAACCCCATGTTCCTTCCAGATGGAAACAACTCACTGTGAACAGTGAATACATTTGAAGATTAAAGCAATCACTAAACTGCATTCTGAAGCTACAGGCTCAAATTCAGGAGAGACAGAGAGATTTACTTTTTTGTGGAGTTCAAGTAGGAGAAGATATTAGACTGTATAATACAGCACCTCCTGACTTTTAAAGCATTAACTAAATGCATGACATGCACACTGGATGCTGCCATGAGGCGCATTCCCAAAACCCAAAGCCAAACCAAAAAGCCCGAGCAATACCCAATATGCTAAGAACAACTGAAACTAGGAATTGGTTTTTTTGTTATTTTATTATTTTTCTAAGTTTTTATGCCAGATATGGTGGTGCAATCCAAACATTCAGGAGGCTGAAGCAGGAGGATTGTGAGTTTGAGGCCATCCTCAGCTACATAGTGAGACTCTGTTTAAGGGGAAAAAAATTAGGCAAAAGCCCTGAATTGATATCTTACCAAGAAGAAACACAGCAATAAACACATAGCAATAAGTATATAAAAAGATGCTGAACATCATTTACCATTTGAAAATTTTTTAAATGAGAAATTAAGGGCTGGAGAGATGGCTAAGTGGTTAAGAAAACTGGTTATTCTTGCAGAAGACCCAAGTTTGAATCTCAGCACCCACATGGCAGCTAACGACTGTCCGTAACTCCAGTCCTAGGGGATCCGACAGCCTCTTCTGACCTCCGCAGGCATTGCATGACACAGGTGCACTCACCTACATGTAGGCAATACACACATACACATAAAATAAAAATAATAAAAATTTAAAACAAAAAGAGACACTAAGGTGGGTAAGGTAGCTCTTATGTGCAATCTCAATGCTTGGGAGGCTGAGGCAAGAAGGATGCCACAAGTCTGAAGCTACCTTGGGCTGTACAGTGAGGTTCAGCCCAGCCTGAGCTACAGAGTGAGGTTCTCTATCAAAAATAGATACCAATACCAATTTTACAATGGTAAAAACCCAAAATATGGATCTGGAGAGATGACTCAGCAGTTAAGAGCAATGGATGCTCTTGGAGAGAGGACTCAGATTCAATTCCCAACACCCAAATAGCAGCTAACAACCATCTGTAAATTCAGTTCCAGGGGATCTGACACCCTCTTCTGGCCTCCGTGGGCACTGCACAACATGGGTGCACTTACATACACTCATATACATAAGATAAAAATAAAACATAAAATATTTTTTAAATCCAAATTACTAAAACACTGGTTTGTGTGGATGGGGAGCAAGAGGAACTCTCATTCACTGTTGGCGGGAATGCAAAATGGTATAGGCACTTTGAAAGATGGTTTGGCAGTTCCTTACAAAACTAAACATACTTTTACCATATAATCCTGCAGTCTCACTAGTTGGTTTCTACCCAAAGGAATGAGAAACTCATGCCCATACAGAAACCTGTACATAGGTGCTCCTATCAGCTTTATTCATAACACCAACCCTTGAATGCACTCAACAGATCCTTTGGCAAGTAACTGAATAAATAATTTGTGGTACATACAAACAACAGAATATGGTTTTAGGACATAGATAAGTGGCAGAGATAAAAATAAATAAGATAGAGCGTGGTGGTGCATGCCTTTTGGTGCATGCCTTTAATCCCAGTACTTGGGAGGCAGAGGCAGACAGATCTTTGAGAGGTCAGCCTGGTCTACATAGTGAATTCCAAAACAGCTGGGGCTACGGGGAGACCCTGTCTCAAAAAGATAAATAAATAAATAAATAAAAAATAAATAAATAAATAAATGACAAAATAAACAATGAATAAGATAGAGCGTGGTGGTGCATGCCTTTTGGTGCATGCCTTTAATCCCAGTACTTGGGAGGCAGAGGCAGACAGATCTTTGAGAGGTCAGCCTGGTCTACATAGTGAATTCCAAAACAGCTGGGGCTACGGGGAGACCCTGTCTCAAAAAGAT